AGCATCACAACTTAAGGGAAGCTTCCCTGACTCTTCCAGGCAGGCACAACTGTGCTTCCTCTGGGCTCCCGAGTACCTTGTCCATCGTCCATTGTAGTGCTTATCACATTGCATTGTTGTTGCTAGCCGCTGTGGAGTCAGCCTCTCACTTACGGTGACCCTGTGCACAATGGAATGAAATGCTGCCTGGTCCTGTGCCATCCCCGTGATCGGTTGTGTATTGGACTGTTGGGATCCATAGAGTTTTCATTGGCCACCTTTTAGATGTAGATTGCCAGTCTTTTCTTCCTAATCCATCTTAGTCTGGAAGCTCTGCTGAAACCTGTTCAGCGTCATAGTAACATGCAAGCCTCCACTGACAGACAAGTAATGGCTACGCGTAAGGTGTGTTGTTGGAAATCAAACCCAGGTCTAAGTGAGTATTTATTTGGCTCTTTCTTTAGATGATGATGTCCCTGAGAGCTAAGATTGTGTTCTTTTTACATAGGGTGTGAACAGATAGTGGGCACTCAATAACTAGTTGAAAGAATGGATGAATAGCTGTGTGAACTGTGGTTGCTAACAGCAATAGGAATAAGAACAGTATCTTACTGGAAAGACATTTCCTGATATATGCCTGACAAGGGCATCAAGGGATAGTTTATGGGTGATTAAGGTGACTTACCTGCCTATACCAGATAGGTCTAGGTTTAACTACAAATAACAGAATACCTAGTATAACTGTGGCTCATACGAGATAAACAGTTATTTCTCTTTCGTGTGAAAGAAGTCCAGAGACAAGTAGTCCAGGGCTGACAGGGTGGTTCCCCAATCAGCAGGACTGTACTTCTGTTCTTCTGTTTTGTTGCTTCACCATCCACAACCAGTGGTCTCCACCTTATGGTCCAAGATGGCCGACCTGAGCTCTAGACATCACAGATGCATACTAGCCAGGAGAAAAGGGTGATGGGGGTGACCTTCCCTTCCTTTTAAGAATACTTTCTGGAAGTTAGCAAATGAAATTTCTATTACATTGCATTAGCTAGTTCTTAGTCCCATGACCACATTTAGCTACAAGGTAGGCTGGGAAATGTAGTATTTATTTTGAATAGCCAAGTAGCCATCTGAAAAGCCAGGCTTCTTGTTTGTTAAGGAAGAGGAGAGAAAGGATATTGGGAGCCAACCAGTGGTCTCTGTCACACTGCTTTTATGGCTGCAGGGAAGAGAAATTCTCTCAAACTTGCTTAAGCACTAAAGGGAATTTGATGGATTTGGAAGTATTTCATGGAGGCCAGGGACAGGAAGTATGGAAGGGCCTCTCAGATACTAGGATCTGAAAGCTGCCAGAAGCCAGAGAAGCTCTTCTCTGCTGCCTTTCTCTGGAAGCATGGGTCTCATTTGCTTTTCTACACATCTCCTTTTTCTCTTCTCTCTGCACATGGCGGCAAAGACGTCCCAGCTTTAGCACTTCCAGTTAATTAACTAGCTTCCTAAAGCCTCAATTCCAAATTCCAAAGAGAGAGAATCTGATTGGCCCAGCTTGGGTCAAGTGTCACCTCTGGTCCAGTCAACTCTGGCCAGAGCAATAACAAGGCAGCATGGGCCCACCTCTCCAGTTGAGGAGAACAGTTTTCAGAGAATGAGATCATGGGATGAGGAGACTCCCCAAAAGGTATCTAGAGCATGTATACTCTCAGGTCTGTGTCCCAGGACTTTGCAAACCATCATTCATTCAGGCAAACAGTAATTGAGCACCTTCTGTATGCCAGGGACATGGATCAGCCCTCTAGGAATTTTTCTAAATCTCTTTGGAAATTGTTTTATGTTTTTTTCTTTAAATTTTATTTTGTTGTTGAGAAAATACACAGCAAAACATACACCAATTCAGCTGTTTCTAATGTACCAGTTAGTGACATTGATGACATTCTTCGAGTTGTGCAACCATTCTCACCTTCCTTTTCTGAGTTGTTCTTCCCTCATTAACATAAACTCACTGCTCCCTAAGGTTCTCATTCATTCTTTTGAGTTGCTATTGTCAATTTGATCCCATATAGATAGTTCTTAAAAAAAACCATAATGCTCAAGGCAGACCTTTTTTACTAGTTAAGCTAAACTATTGTTCAGTTTGAAGAAGACTTCAAGGGATATTTTTGGTTCAAGGTTCAAAGATTATCACATGGCAATAGTTTCAGGTGTTCATTCTCCCTCCATGGTCCAGAAAGTCAGGAGTTCATGAGAATTTGAAATTCTGTTCTGCATTTTCCCCCTTTTGATCAGAATTCTGCTATGGAATCTTTGATCAAAGTGTGTAATAATGGTAGCTGGGTACCATCCAGTTCTCTGGTCTCATGGAAAGTGAGGCAGTTGTTCATGGAGACAATTAGCCACACTTTCCATATCCTCCTCCTATTCCTAACTGTCCTTCTTCTGTTGTTCCAGATGGATAGAGACGAATTGTTGTGCCTTGGATGGCCGCTTGCAAGCTTTTAAGACCCCAGGCACTACTTAGTAAACTAGGAGGTAGAACAGAAGCACTAAATACATTATTAGGCCAATTAACTGGGTTGTCCCCTGAAACCATGACCCTAAACCTCCAAGCCAAGGACCCAAATCCCATGAGGTATGTGGTTGTACATAAGCAGCCTCAGCAGCTACCGTCTTTTTTTTTTTGTCATTGTTGCAAATATATCTATCACACAACTTTTGCCGGTTCAGCTTTTTACAGGCATACAACTTATTGACAGCAATTACAATAATCAGCTGTGCAACCCTACTCTTAATCAGTGCAATTTTTCTATCACCGTTAACCCCCCTTTTCCCTGTCTGTCCCGCCCCTGGTAACCACTAATAAACTTTGGTCTGTGTACATTTGCCTTTTCTTGTCTTTTCATGTAAGTGAGGTCATAAACAATATTTGTCCTTTTGTGATTAGCTTATTTGCTCAGCGTAATGTCTTCAAGCTCCATCCATACTGTAGCACATATCAAGACTTCATTTCTTCTACTGGCTGAGTAGTATTCCACTGTATGGACCACATTTTGTTTATCCATTCTTCTGTTGATGAGCATCTAGGTTATTTCCACCTTTTGGCTATTGTGAATAGTGTTGCAGTGACCATTGGTGTACAAGTCTCTTTTTTGAGTCTCTGCTTTCAAGTCTTTTGAGTATATACCTAGGAGTGGAATTGTTGGGTCATATGGTAGTTCTATTTTTAGTGGAAATTGTTTATATTTTTAACCTGAGCTATCTTTTGGACTGAAGTCATAGCTTCTTAAATTAACTGCCTTTTAGTTTTCCCTTTTCAAGTTTCAAGGTGGGGATCAAGGTCTAATATACCGGGATTTGGTGAACATGTGTCTCCCTATCTGGATCTTTGGGAATTATAGAGATGACCATGTTCTCTTCGCTTATTTTTGTGTCTCCAGTAAGAAGTGTCCTAGTTCTTTAGCTGAATCAAATATGGCTCCCTCTCCCCAATCTATGTGATTCATTGACTTTTTATCTTCAGCACTGGGATGGGCCACCACTGCCAGGCAGGAAAGTATCTCATGTTCATGCCCAGAGAGGAAAATGTTAGGCTTCTAGTTCCGGTATGAAAAGTACCTAGAATTTGATGGACCTTTCTGGAATCAGCAACAGATCATAGGTGCTGTTTATTGAGTACATACTCTGTGCCAGACACCAGGCTAAATCCTCTACATGGAACATCTCATACGTGTAGTCCTCGCAACAACCCTGATAGGTAAGCCTTATTTCCCCATTCTACAGTTGGAAAATGGGGAAATTCAGAGAGAATAGGCAGCTTGCCCAAGGTCACCTAGCATCTCTGCCATCAGAGGCTTCCTATAGGACTAGGGCTTCAAGAACTCTCCACACTGCCTCCAAGGTCTGTGCTTGTCTCCTGTGAGTATCATTTAGAATCTTTGGAGATACCATCCCAAATGTGTTTGCTAACTTGTCGTGTTGAAGTCACTCTTCTTTGAACAAAAGAAGAGTTGGGGTCAGGGTGGGGCTGTGGTTTGGTGGACAGAGCACTGTACTGAGACATCCTTCAGAAGCCCAGCTCAGCAGCCACCCCACAGTGTGACTCTGGTCAAGGCCCTTCCTTCTTTTGGCCTCAGTTTCCTCATCTGTGGGTCTGTGGGTTCCTTCAAGCTCTGACATTCTATAGTTTCCAAGTTAACAGCATTTCATTGAAAGAGGGAGTGTGTCTGGGAAGTTTCCCATCTGTGCCAAGCCCTCCTGGGGTGTGTGAGTCCTGCTTCTTGCTATGTCATCTTCTGACCTTTCCCACCGTCTGTTGTTTGTTCTGCAACCCCTGGACTTTGGGGTTGCCTGATGTTGTCCTGCCGATTCTCCCCAGTGGCAGTGGGGCGTGCTGTCTCTACCCTCTCTCACTCCTTGGACCCGAGTGTCTGAATGCCTCAGCCCTTTATTGCCCACCAAAGGATCCAACCTCTTCCTCCTTGGCCTCACATGGCTGTTTATTGAGCGTAGGATTTAAATGCTGAACACATGTTTCCCGGCTGTGTCTTTGGGGAATGTAGAGATGTCTGGGTTTTCTCCTTTGGTTTTTTGCTAAGCATTTTGTACATATTTGTCAAATCATTAACCCTCTGTGGAGTCCACAGTGTCATCCACATTTTGCACACAAAGCACCCGAGGCTCAGAGAGGTTAACAGATTTGTCTGTATTAACACACTAATTAGTGCCGGAGCCGAGCTTCACACTCTGGTCTGGCAGACCCCTTATGCCACATGCCTTTGTGTCTCTGCATTTGCTTGGCCTGTATGGGAGTTGGGAAGAAAAGCCTGTGATCTTCCTGGAGTGGCATGATGGCTCTGTGGTTTCCCTGTGGCCTGAATGGAAGAGAGTAGAAATGAGTTTATGTTTGGTGGGGGTACAGGGTGGCCCTAGGGAGGTGTTCCGGAGGCCAGCAAAACTCTGTGTGTGTGTTCAGAAGAGAAAGCTCCCCCTGCCCAGCTCAGCGCCCCTGAATCTCTGTCCACGTTTGCTTCCAGAGCCTGGAAGGAGACCAAGCCATCCTGCAGAAAATAAAGAAGTCTGTGCGGGCGATTCACAGCTCCGGCCTTGGTGAGCGAGACAACTCGTGCTCAGCCTGCCCAGGCAGCCCCTTTCTCAGCCCCAGCCTGGTGCTAACTCTGAGCTCCCTTCCCTCCCTCCACAGGCCACGTGGAGAATGAGGAACAGTATCGAGAGGCTGTGGAGTCCTTGGGCAACAGCCACCTGTCCCAAAACAGCCACGAGCTGTCCACAGGCTTCCTGAACTTGGCTGTGTTCACTCGCGAGGTGGCCGCACTTTTCAAGAACCTGGTGAGGCCACTTACCTTCCTCAGCCAGCCCTTAGCCCAGGCTCGGGGTAAATCTAGTGGTCCTAAGAACCTGACCGAGAAAGGGCTGGGTTTCTCCCTTCTCTTGTAGTCTTCCGTGACCCCTGACCCATGACCTGAGATCCCTTTCCCAGCTCTAACTGCCCCCCCCCTTGCATTCTCCTCTTTCCTCTCACTTCTCGCCCAACTCTACTGTCTCTCTTTCCTGCCTCGGCTTTCTCTTTGGTGGCTCTGGCGACTACCCAGGGGCAGAGGAGGGCTCAGAGCAGGAAGAGCCCTGTGAGGGATGGTTCCCTGAGGAGGTTTGGGGAAGGAAGGGATAGACTCTGGGCTTCCTGCCTTTGCACCATGGCTGCTGCTGTCGCCTTTCCTCACAGCCCTCTGCTTTCCCAATCATGTCTACTTCAATCTCAAATCCTGGAACCTACCCTTGCAAGCCTCTCAGCTCCTGTACATGGCCCAGGTGGGCTTTAGAGAGTCAGAGAGAAGTGAGGGTGTTCCTGGCAGGGGAACAGAGAAGGGACTGACCATGGGATGCTCTTGGGTGAGGTGAGGTGAGGTGAGGTGATGAGGCTGAGTAAGTCAGGTGTGGTGGCAACAGCTTTTATGGGATGCTGACTGACACCCCCCTTCCCCTTCTACCCTTCCATCTTCAAATCTTTCTCTCCCGAGCCTCCTTTACCCCCCACTGGTCCCCCTGGCCTCAGGATACTTCACTGTACCCTGAGCCCCTTGAGGCTGAACAGACAGTAACCCAAGGCGGGGGTGGGGCGGGGGATCTGTCTTTTTCCAGATTCAGAACCTGAACAACATTGTCTCTTTCCCCCTGGACAGCCTGTTGAAGGGGCAGCTGAGGGACGGGCGACAGGTAAACTTTAGTGTGGGAGCAGGGGTGCACAGACGTGGTGAGATGGAGGGAGACCATAGGGGAGGCAGGGCTGGGCTGAGGCTGAGACCAAGAGAGGGAGCTATCATGGTGGCAGTGCTGACCCTGAGGAGGAATGGAGAACCCGGGTCTGGGGTCAGCCTAGGGCAGCTGACCTACTGTCTACCAGGCCCTTTGTGAAATGTCTGATGCTGTTCTAACAATGACCCTCTGAGGGAAGTTCTATAGACACTATCATCCCCATTTTGCAGTTGAGGAAACTGAGGGTCAGGGAGTTAAGTAACCTGTTAGTAAGTGGAGGAGCCAGTGTGGGAATCGAGGACTCCTGAGTTCCACGCCTGGGCTGTTCTTTCTGTGTCTGGCAGCCCCTGACTGGAGACAGAGTGGAGCTCAAAAAAGGTGACAGAATAATCTCCCTGGGAAGTCTGCCCTAGAAAGCTCAGGGGAGGAGCTGTCCTCCCCTCAGAGGACTCCTCCCTACCCTCAGCTGGGCAGCAGCCTGGGAACCACCCAAACCAGACAGGCAGCTTTTTCACTTGGCTGACTGGGGCACCTGGAAGTCTGGGCTGTTCAGAAGGGCGTGATCAGCCCGGGTGGGTGAGCTGTGTCAGGGGTCAGCCAGGTCTCACTGGCTTGCTGTGTGGCCTTGAGTAGACTTCTCAACCTCTCTGTGCATATTTCTCAACCTGCCCCTTCCTGGTGAGAGGATGATATGGTACTAGGCAGGGGAAAACAGTGGGATCAAGTTAGGGAAGGAGTTTGACCTTCATCCTTCCATCGTCATCGTCATGGTTGATCTCCATCTTCTGAGGAACCATCAACCCCCCACACCCCAGGCCAGGGCCCACCAAACCTGACTGATTGTTTGCGACCGAGAGGAGAAGGTCAGGTGGGAGAAGACACTTAACCTTGAGAAATGGGGTCGGTTGGGTCTGTTTGGGGTGGGGTGTCAGGGCAGGTTTGGAGTCAAGGCCACTGGAGCAGGGTTGATTGGAGTAAGGCTCAAAGCAGCACAGGCAGGTGGGGTCCCCCTCAAGGTAGCAAATTGTACTGCTTATTCTAGAGCCTAGCGTCCCATTGGGAAAATTGTTCTTTTTAAACTTCAGGATTCAAAAAAGCAGCTGGAGAAGGCATGGAAGGACTACGAAGCCAAAATGTAAGTGGCCACAGCCAGGGTGGGCTGTCCAGGAGAGCCATGCTTATGTTGCACAGAGGTTGGATATCAGGAAGAACCTAAATGCTGCCTGAATGTGTTGCCCAGGCATGCATGGCATCTCACTCTCTAGAGGCATTTGCAGGGGGTGGTTTATGCCCAGTCCTGACCAGAGTCTGGGGCCCACCACAGGGAGCTATTGTGAAGGGGGCTTCAGGGTGCTGAGCAAATCCATCTGCTCTGTGGTGCCAGATGTGGGCATGGGTGGAAAGAAGCTACCACTTACTGAACACCTCCATGTGCTAGACATTTATTCCTCACAGTTACCCAGCCCTGTGAGGGAGATGTTAGCATCCCAATTGTCAGATGAGGAGTTGGAGGTTCAGAGAGGTTAAGTCACTTGCCCAAGACCACACAGCTAGACAGAGGCAGAACTGGGGTTCTTGCTCCTTGCTCGTCTTTCCACAAAACCAGGCAATATCTATAAATATTTAGTTGGATATAAAGGACAACGAGGGAGTTGTTATATCTAGACCACACGATTCTCCAGGTCACTCACCAGCTACTGGGGCATCTTGAGGACAAAAAAAGAACCTCAGGCTCCCAGTGACCCACTCCTTGGTGGGGAGACTCCTCAGGCTTTTTTCCCCAGGACTCATAGATCCCAGCCCCAGTCCTCTGCCTGCCCTCAAGGCCCTGCAAGACTCTACCTGACCGCGGAACATTGTTCTTCTTTGTAAAATTTTGTTTTCTTTTGCATTTTGCAAAAATAGTACATATTCATTAGGAGAAAAAATTTCAATTACAAGGATTAGAGTCATGTGGGAGTATCTGATACATCTCTGTTGTTTGAATTTTTTTTAACAAGCTATGAGTAACACTATAATTTTATCATTTAAAAAAAAAGACAGGGGGAATTACCAAAAAATAGGCAGAAAATCCTTAATTTCCAAGCCTAAGGTATGAACATCTTTCCAGTCATGTTCTTGGTCTTTATATGGTTCCTATACATAAAGAAATATTTTTTAGAAAACTGAGATCATAATAATCATACTGTTTTGCTGTTTTTTCTCTTAAAAACATACCATGACTATCTTTCTACCTCATTACATATTCGTATAACTTAAATGGTAATATATTTAATCTGCCCCTATCATAGGAGAAGGGGGCTGTGGTGGCTCAGCGGCAGAAGTCTCACTAGAAGTCTCACCTTCCACGAGGGAGACCCAGGTTTAACTCCCAGCCAGCGCACCTCAAGTGTAGCCACCACCCATCTATCAGTGGAGGCTTGCATGTTGCTATGATGCTGAACAGGTTTCGGCAGTGCTTCTAGACTAAAACGGACTAAGAAAAAGGCCTGGTGATCTACTTCTGAAAATCAGCCAGTGAAAATCCTATGGATCACATGGTCCGATCCTGTTGTACATGGGGCCACCATAAATCGGGAGCCAACTTGACAGCAGCAACAACAACAACAGGAATCATTGGGGAAGCATCCTTGGAAACAAGTCTTTGCTCTCACTCATAATTATTTCTGTAGTGTCAATTCCAGGAAGTAGATCCTCTAGTTCCTAGAGCTACGGAGACCTCCCTGAGTCTGAAGGAAGGCCACATCCTCTCCTTCCACCATAGTCTGTGGGTGTTGGTCCTGTGATGAAGAGCATGGGAGCTATGTGGCCATCCCTGTAGGTGCCTCATCCCTGCCTGGGATGGGCTGGGACCATCTGTTCCCGTTAGAGGCCCAGGGAGGTGTGCTGCAGACACGAGCTATCTTTGACTTTATGATTTGATGTGGGGCCACATGGCCCTCATCTTCCTGAGTGGCTTTGACTAAGCTCTTAGCTTTCAGGGCTTTCTGCCAAATGGAAAGAATAAGCCCCACCCTGCTGACCTTCCCCAAGCAGCTCTGCTTTTACCAGATTTGTATACTGAGCTTACCTGTAACATTTCATTTAGAGAAAAGACTCCCTTTTTTTTAAAATTGTACTTTAGATGAAGGTTTACCGAACAAATAGTTTCTCATTAAAAAGGACATGTATTGTTTTATGACAATGGTTAACAACCCCACGACATGTCAACACTGTCCCTTCTCAACCTTGCGTTCCCTATTACCAGCTTTCCTGTCCCCTCCTGCCTTCTAGTGCTTGTCCCTGGATTGTTGTGCCCATTAGTCTCATTTGGTAATTTATGGGCCTGTCTAATCTTTGGCTGAACAGTGAACCTCGGGAGTGTCTTCATTACTGAGCTAAAAGGGTGTCCGGGGCCATACTCTCGAGGTTCCTCCAGTCTGAGAAAAGACTCCATTTTATTGTTGGGGAAAAGAGTTTGCTAATTCGGTGAGTTATTGGCAGGGCCTGAACTAGAACCCAGGGTTTCTGTGTCTAGGGCTCTTTCTGCATGCTAAGGTCTCTTGGTTCCTGCCATGCAAACTACGTAGTTTGCGCTATGTGTCCTAGGACAGGTGTACATATACGTTCTGTACTGGTTTCCTAGGGCTGCCGTAACAAATCACCACAAACTGCAGAAATTTATTTTCTTGCAGTTCTGGAGGCTAGAAATCCAAAACCAAGGCGTCGGCAGGGCCATGCTCCCTCTGAAAGCTCTAGAGAAGATCCCTAGCTTCTGGTGGTTGCTGGCAGTCCTTGGCGCTCCTTGGCTTGTGCCAGCATCACTCCAGTCTCTGCCTCTGTCTTCACGTGGCTATCCTCCCTCTGTGTTTGTGTATCTGTGTTCAAATTTTCTCTGAATTACCATAGCTGAGGCTGAGAGACAGAGCTATGGTAATCACAAAGCTGTTTGAGTATTCACAGCCTATCTTCATGCTGAGCTAAAGGGCTCCTGTCCTTTAATCTCCACTAGACCCTGTATAAAAAATATAAAATGAATAAATAAGGAAGTTAACCTGTTGCTGTCGAGTTGATTCCGACTCATAGTGACCCTATAGGACAGAATAGAACTGCCCCAGAGGGTTTCCAAGGCTGTAATCTTTTCAGAAGCAGATTGCCGCATTTTTCTCTTGTGGAGCAGCTGGTGGGTTCGAACGGCTGACCTTTCAGTTAGCAGTCGAGCTGTTAACCACTGCACCACCAGGGCTCTAAATAAGGAAGTACCATATACTTTATATATGTGTATATATATATGTATAATCTAAAGGAATTACATCACTAGCATCATCAGAATCCTGCCGTGTATTGAAGGTTTACCACATGCTAGGAACTGTGCTGAGTGTTTCCCATGCATTATATCACCTGTTGTTGTTAGGTGTCGTCAAGTCAGTTCTGACTCATAGTGACCTTATGTACAACAGAACGAAACTCTGCCCCATCCTGCACCATCCTGACAATCGTTGCTATGTTTGAGCCCGTTGTTGCAGCCAATGTGTCAGTCCATCTCGTTGAGGGTCTTTTTTCCACTGACCCTCTACTTCACCGAGCATTATGTCCTTCTCCAGGGACTGGTCCTTCCGTGATAACACGTCCAAAGTATGTGAGATGAAGTCTCACCATCCTTGCTTCTAAGTAGCATTCTGGCTGTACTTCTTCCAAGACAGATTTGTTCATTCTTTTAGCAGTCCATGGTATATTCA